AATAATAATAATAATCATCATCATCATCATCATAGTAATAATAATAATAATAAAATTAATGATAGTGGTTGTTTGTTGACATAATGACCAATACATGGGTGCCGTAAACTCTTGCTAAATAAAACTAAAGCTAAAACGTGTGGTGTTTCAACCCTCTATTCCCCCCACAGGCAGCAACCTGTCTCCCTGCACCTACCAGATGATCAAGCACATCCGCGGCCAGCTCCTGGGCTCGTTCCGGCCGCGCTGCACGGTGGACGGCCAGTTTGAGCGCAAGCAGTGCCACGTGGACACCTGCTTTTGCGTGGACGAGGGCACGGGCCAGCGCAAACCGGGCACAGAGGTTCACATTCCAGACACACCCGACTGTGGTCAGTGAATATTTATCTTTTTTTGTTTTTTGTGTTGGTTTTGGTTTGTTCATTCGTTTTTTCCCTTCTTTTCCTTGTTTTCCCACTAAATTGTTATTGTTTCTCTACATTCCAGACACACCTGTTGGATTGTGGTCAGTGGATATCATCTTGTTTCTTTTCGGTTTTTTTCCACCCGTTCTTTTTTCTTTTCTTTCTCTCTTTCTTTGCTTTCTTTTTTTCTTTTCTTTCTCTCTTTCTTTGCTTTCTTTTTTTCTTTTCTTTCTCTCTTTCTTTTTCTTTCTCTTTCTTTTAAAAAATTTTCTATCTCTCTCTCTTTCTATCTTTCTTTTTTTTCTTTTGTTTGTTTTTTACTTTTCCATGTTTTCCCATTTAATTATTTATTTTGTTTATGTGTTTCTTCCTATTACGGTGTCTGTGGTGTAGTGGTCTGGTGCTTCGTTGTCGCATGCCGGAGACCTGAGTTCGATTCACGATGGATTTTTATCGAGTATCTCGAGTCTTTCTGCTGGGATGTTTCTCTTATAGCCCGGCTAGGCCGCACAGGCAGTGTCAGAAGCATGTAGCCGTGAGTGATCTAAATTGCCTGGATGGGGGTGTGAAAAACTCCTACATTAACGGACAACTTTCTAATAATAAATGGGTGGGTGGAGGGTGACACAGGTAAGTCGGTCCTCCTTTGATTTCCATCTATTTTTACGTCTGTTTGTCTGTCTTACTTATTCCCCCAGCACCAAACAATGGATATTGTGCCGATATACTTCTCTTTACTTGAACAAAATGTAATAAACATAACATGTTTGTGGGTGGTTGACAGGTGTCCTGGTGCGGTTCGCTTCTTCTTCAGTATCAAACATCTAATGTCCCTATCTCTCCATTTTTTTTTCGTTTTCTTTGTGTGTCACTCCCCAGTTACACTTCTAGTTTTTGGCACTGTGGGTGGTTGGCGGGTGCTCTTGTATGGTTCGCTTCTTCTTTCCTATCAAAGGTCTATCATCTTTATCTCCCCTTCTTCTTTTTTATGTTTGTTACTCTCTTGTAACACCTCTAATCTTCTGGCGCTCATAATACCTCTACTAAAACTAAACTAAGTCCTTTGGCACTCCTACGACTTATTTGTGTTGCAAGTGCCTTTTAAACTCTTATTAAAGCAAAACATGTTTATGTATGCGCATGTTCCCGTCTCTTCTTCAGATGACGATTCCGTAGATATGATAGAGACCACCCCGGTAGGCTTGAAGCCTGACAGGAACCAGGGCAACGAGGTAAGTGCTGGGTTCACTTTACAGCTTCTCACTATTTTCTTTCAGGGATTGTTGTGACATTAACGTTTAAAAAAAAGTAATTTGAAGAAACTACTGTATATTATAATCTCATGTGGGACGTATGCTTGGATAAGATGCAGATCGACTTGAAAGCCAAAACTTTGGTATTGCTCAGATGTTTATCATATAAGACATTCCAACTTTTAAACCCTTTTTGAGCAATACCAGCCCATAATGGCCTTCCCATCAAGTTGCCATACAATCTTTTACCGGTTTTCCTGCTGTAGAGCCATACCGGCTTTTACCAGCCTGACACACCCGTCTTTAGTGAAGGCTTAAAAGATGAACATTCCACTCTAAATTCAGATGCTGATGTCCTTGTTGGTTGTATGTGAAATTATATTGAAATACCATGGCTTAGGTCAAAAGCAAAAGCATTTTTGCTGCACCCCCTTCTACCTCTGAAAAACAATAAAATAATTCAGTTATGGGAAGCCATCAAGTGGCCGCCATTTTTGTTCTGCTGTGCTGACCTGACTTATTTATGGTACAAAGCTTCACCACCTTTGTTGTTAGATTTTTCATTAATAACCACACTTCAACGCAAAACAAATTTAAAAAAATAAAAAATAAACATAATAATGGTCACTTCTATAGTGGTCACTCCCCGGTGGCTCCAGGCACTTTAAAATAAAATAAGATTTATTTCAAATACACACACATACTCGTAGTTTGACTTGGAACACTTACACAAAAATAGAAGAAAATCACAGAGGCTACTGGAAATATTAAGGTTTGTTTGACTATCCTGCTTCCACAGGGAGTTGAGTTCCATGTCCATTTCTTGGTG